TGTAAGACCAGTTCTTGCATCGTCTCTTGGGCTTGGTAAGTGATTAGTTTCTCAGTGCATATTCCGCTGCACGTTCAATTTTCTCAACCATGATCAAATGTGGTTGCTTATAGTAAACTTTGTCAAGTTAGTAATGTCTCCTTTTGGGCGGATACATTTGTGACATTGATGCATTTTAATTTTGATATCTGACGTGATTAGAGCTTAAGGTTTTTACCCTGAAACTGTATGTCATGCATGGATTGTTTTTACCCCAGGCATCTCTGCTGCGCTTCTGTTGGTGATGGGTTCTCGTTTCAAGAGATCAGGGAAGATATTTCCTGCAGGTGTTGTATCACTTGTGTCTTTCGTATGACTGGTGGTTACTTTCATGGAATTCTACGTAGTGTGCACTAGCATGTGGAATGATGGAGATGAGGCTGTAGGTAAACTTTGCTGGAAACTCATCTCCTCCGGTTATAAAGTGTGTGTTTTGAAGTATAGCCTTTGTTATGAAATAAGGATGTCAGTTCGAACCTCATTTGGACCTCGAGTTCCTTCTTTTCCCTTTGCTTTTGGAAGAAAGTAACATATGCCTAATGGGGTTGTATTTGAAGACGATATCCATATGTGCATATAAAAAAAATTAGTTTTCTGCAGTGTATTAGCATTTCATTTTAAAAGCATCTGTATAAGAAATACTTGCTCTGTTTCAGAATAGTTCTTTCTAAAAATATTGTTTCATATTTGTTTTTTAGACTTCCAAAGCACTATTTAATGAAATTTTTTTTCTATTTTACCCTTAAAGGTATTAAAGTGCTTACTTTTAATTGTGGGGTAAATTTGGTTAAGTATATCATATGTTTACATATTAATTGTGTTTCTTAATTTGTGGGCAATAATCTTAAAAGGACAAGTATTTTGAAACGGATGGAGTACTAAACATGTTTCAAGAAGGAAGTGTGGACATTGATGGCATGGCTTCAATTGAAAAGAACGAGAGGAGCTGATGGTTGTGCCAACAAAAAATTTTAACCAACAAAAACAGGAAACTTGGCTGAAGAGAGATGGTGAACATTCAAAACGGTTGTTTACTTTTAGAGGGTGCCATTTTAATACAGAGGAATTAAGAATGTATCGAACTCGCATCTTTTAATTTATTTCCCTGCAAAAGAGTTACATCTTGCTTGTCTGTTCACAAAGAGAGGACCCAGGTTGATTAAAAATGCATGAAGGGACCTATTAAATGAACCATTTACCTTATGTAACACTTGTAAAACTTCTTGCCTGTCATTTTTTTTTTTCAGTATATCATAACAAGTACTTAAAATGCATTTAAGATTTTTATTTTAATATACTAATAACAGATAGATTTTGTATGACTGAATTTCAGCTTCAGAAATACGCATGCACTTCAAAACCTTTTACTTGAACAATGAGAGGTTAAAAATTTAAAAACTAAATGAGATTTGAGTTTATTAATGTTGAACTCTCAGGCAAGAGATGAGAGAAAAAAATTACAATAACGCTATTATACTGTCTCTTATCATCTCTCTTGGGGAGTTTAACGTTCTTTCTTATAGAGTCCATTGTTCCAAAATATTAGTTAGTGGCTGGGGTAGGGTCTTGATTGTATCTTTTGGCAGTGGTATATGGTTTATATTATCTGTTTTTTTTCCCCCAAGGGTATATCTCATTGAATTCGTAAGAGTATGTTCTCTGTAACAAATATTTTTATAAGTTGAGGGTTGTTTAAAAAATAAAATGAAAAATAATTTGATCGATGTGAAGTATCTTTCTCATTTTTAGATAAAAATAATATTTCAATAATAATAATAATTTGACAAATATTATATATCTTACCTTTTGCGGAGCATAAGAGTCATCTTAGGATATGTTGACTTTATTAGAAGTGATAAGCCCAATCGATTAATAATTGATTATTGCTTAAGTAGGGGAAACAATTTTGCTTGATGATCGATCAGTTTTCATGTATTCTGTATTTTGTGGTTCATTCAATCTTTATTGTCATGTCGGCAACTTGGCATTGATTAAATTTCAAATCTTTTGCATTTTTTTTATAGTACAAAGTAACAAAACTTTTCTCAAAAAAAAAAAATCTATATAAAAATTCTGATCACTAGACACTCTAATATACCTAAACTTGCATCTGCATATCTCTGTATAGTATATAATCTATATTCTTGCATGAATTCAAATAAAAAAAATTCCTAGATCATATGAAGGGCGACGAATTTTGCACACCATCTATTGGAAGCATTATTATTCTTTGTTACTTGATCTGATCAACATTAAAATGAAATAGTAAAATAATTAGAAAATTGAGGGTGAGGGAAAAGTGGAAGATGTTGATTATCTTGAAAGATTCTTGAAGCACGCCAGTTTGGTAAGCTAGCCCCTTTTGAGGATCATTTCACTTGTACCTAATGAGTTGTTGAACATGCTCAATTATTTTTTCTAATCACTATTTTGCCTCAATTTTAATCATTGAAAAAGTTGGTGCTATCTTTTGCATATTGCTTTATGACTCCTTTGGGGTGGGTGGGAACAGGGCTTCTACAAAAGTAGGAGGAGCCAGAATTTGTCCAAACTAAGCCATAAATTTATAACATGTCATGGATTTAACTATTTAGTTCCTAATAAATATTATGGAAGAACGAAAGTTAAATTTAAAATACTGAATTAATATAATTATTATTCTTTAACAAAATTTTCTTTTTAAAAAATAAATTAAAAATATTAATCTAAATTATTATAAATTTAAGAATTTTAATTGTAAATAATATTTAAATATTAAATATAACTTTTAAATTGTAGTAAAAAATTTGGTTTGCCACTGTTTAAATTAACATTTATAATTCATTTTGTAAATTTTTTTATTGAGAATCTAACTATCATTATTTCATTCCTTGCAGACCTAACTGCAACCCCCCTCCCAAAAAAAAAAAATACCTTCCTTCTCTAGAACATCCGAAGAGTCAGATTCTTGCACATGTTGACAAAATAGAAAGCAGCAGCAGCTAAATAAATTAATGGATTTAAAATATAGTAATGAGGTGAACTGTGATGTAACACAAGCTGAATCATATAATATCAACTTAGATCATTCTTAACAAATAAAAACATATTTAATTTCTTTGCATCCAAATTACTCCCATTTTCTTGCATAAATGTTGATACACCGATCCACTTGTTTTGTCCCAAGAACAGGAAGAGAGAGGGAGATAGGAGGGGCAAAACAACAAAAGCATGACAAAAACAAACGTCGCAATATGAACATAACAGATAATTTAATTGTCCAGAAACACAACATTGTCTAAGAATAACATAATTAGGATGGATATTCCGAGCATAGAGAACATAATGCAGACTTTCAAGTCATTTTCACTGACCCATATCAAGTTCAGCAGTTAGGTTACACGTATGCTAAAGACTAAACAAAAACCATGTCACAGATTCACGGTCATTAAACTTCTACATGCAAGCACATTGAGGTTCTTCTACACACAACAATAATTATAGCCATTAAGTAGAAACAACTTTTGACACTTAAGAGGCAATGACGCTGGGTTGAATCTCCTCCTCTGAGTGTTTGAAGGAGACCAGATCAGGTGCATTATCAGCACTGCAGCTATTCTCCGTATTCTCAGACGCTTTGGTTCTTGCCGGAGAAGGGTATGGGGCTCTACTCCCCAACCTGCCAGAAAATTACATAAACAAGCCAATCAGGGAACTAGTAAATAACCAATTTCTTCACGACAAGTGCACTTTTGGTTATGTCCCTTAACTTTGAATGAAGTTTTACTTTTTGTATCTTGATTTTCTTGATTCCAATACTGTTTTTAATCTTTTCAAGCATCGTCAGTGTTTTCATTAGACCTAACTCACAGAATCACAAGAAGGAACAATATGATGTGTCATTCTGTGTCTGGGATATTCCTTTAGATTCTCACATATTCACTTCTTTTCAAAAAATGGATGAAATTGGAAATGGACAGGAGTTAAGGGGCAAAGGTAAGACTTTCTAAAGTTAAAGGATCAGGAATACATATACATACATATATATAAGCCAAAAATAATCAAATCTGAGAGTTTCCTATGAAGCATACACCCCCTCATGCACTAAAATATGCAACAATCGTACAACAGATGAACTCACAAGAACCCAACCCATTAAACATGGAAGATACAATACCTATCTCGTCGCTTCTCAAGAAAGCGCTGCAGTGACTGTCTGCGTGCAATTGGAAATTCTGAACAGAAATATCAACAAAAAGACATACAAGATTTGAATTATTAGTACATTTGAATAACAGACATCCCAGCAATAGAAGAGGTCATTCAAGAAGTTATCATCTAAATGTAGTTCAGCAATGGGAAGAGTGCCACCTTGCAACCCACAAATGGAACTCTTCTGCCCAGGAAAACACAGTGGTTTCGGTGAAGCCAAATTATTAGGATTTCCCTGTGGAGAAGATGGCCTTGTGGGAATGGGTGAAGTAAAGGAGGACTGTATTGCATTCTTCATGTCAGCAGACTTAGCAGCAGAAGCAGCAATGCATATTATCTCATGCACCTGTTAACGAACGAGGGGTAACAAAAATGTAAAATGAAGAGCTGGAATGGGTACAACAGTGGCAAAGTTCCAATATGACATTTAAGTTTGAGAAAAGGGCTACCTTTTCTGCAGGAATTCCATCATAGACACAGACATTCCCATTAAAGAAGATGGTGAGCTGACTCGTATTCAGTCCAGATGCTGACCTAAAATATTCACAGCAAAAGTAGTAAAAATGAAAAAAAGCAATGACATATGCATGATGCACACATCAAAGTGAGCTGACATTGCTGTAAATTGGAATTAAACTTTTCAGAATCAGTGATGCACGAGACTTGCAGTTTTCCTCGATTTAAGAGTCATAAGCTTGATGCAGTATTTAGAAGTGTCTCAAGATTTGGTTGTGAATTGATACAAGTTTCCACAGTTTTGGACAAGTCCTGATAATACTGATGTTGAAGGGTCCAAAAAACGGATTGATAATTAATATCAAGTGAATAAAAAATATTAATTCTTTAATGCATTGTCCTCCAAAAGTATCAAAGCAGCGGCATCCTTTTACTATCACCTATCTCCTTTATTCTACTACCACAGTATCTTACATATATTGGCAAATGGTGGAAATCTCGTGGTTTTCCATTAAGAAAGCCCATAAATTTAATCATCTTCAAAACCCACACCTGAAACAAATTGAACAATAATCAAGCTAAACTTAAAAGGTAGTCCTAAATCCTAATTCACAAAAGAAGAAGCTTCTCGCCCATACAAAATTAAGGCATGCGATCTGAACAGTTTTATCTACCATCAACTTTGACGATCTGAACAGTGACACACGTTTTATTTAAATGTTAAAAACATTTCCTCACGAAAAAATGGATATGCAGGATGCATCACATTGACCATGATAACCGATGTCATATTTGTGACTCTAAAAAGGCATGGTTTCATCCCACAAAGATGAAGAAGAATTCAAACCAAAAACATTGAGGTGAATGTGTTAATTTTATATTTATCTCACGACAAAACCTAAATTCTGACTAATTCATGATATCCACACTAATTGAAGTGTTATTAGTTCAAGACATTCTGTTCCGTTGGCAGAAAGACGATCCAATAAATCATGGGCCGTGTTGTTTTAAAAGGAACTAAGTTGCTCTTTGTGCTTTCAATTAATGTAATGCATATCAGCGTAAGCAAAAAAACGTAACTTTATTATGTTGGTATACGGTAAATTAAACGAGTGTTGAGTCAAGGTTTCATAATTTAGGTACAATCTGTCGACTAATTCCCTGTGAGGAGAAAATCTTTTTCATGAATGGTTTTATCCTTGATACATGATTGGGAAGATATGAAACGCATTAAATCCCTGATCTGAAGCAAACTCAGACACAGACTATAAAAATGAACACTTGGTTTACCAGAACCCCAAAGCATCTCCTTCTTCCCATTCATATTACTTCTATTGTTGTATTTTGTTTCTTTCAATACACCTGATGCCATAAATTAAAATCTTTTCAGACATAGACATTCGCCCTTAATTACAGTACCCAAAAGCACACGGTTTTGCCTAACACACCACTAGCATTAGGAAGCCATTAAAGGTGCCAGATAAGAAACCACAGTTCATCCCACATGCGTGGCTTAAAATCGAGAGAAACCGCAGAAATTTACCCGCAATTATCGCTGCGTAGTGGGTAATAGTTCAATGAGAAAACAAACAAAGAAGAGCCCAAGAAAAGGCGCTCCGGGTAACTTTTTGCAGGTAAGTGTATACATAAATATAGAAACAACAAGGCAGAGCCAAGACAGAGAGAGACCTACCTGTTTGCAGAGAGATGCTTCTTTCCCAATAAATCTCCAGCAGATTCTTCAACAGCCTCTCCCTCGCAAGCATCACCATCAACAATTTTCCAGAATTCACAGCGAGAGGAGAAGATTCCAGAACCAAGTCTTGGCCCTTCTCTTCTCCGGCTCCTTGCTCTGTCACGGGCTTCACCCCATCATCAGAGTCAAGTTTTCCCTCCATCTGAAAGAAAATCGAACAGATCGATCCGAATGCTCAAGCAGATTTCAACGCCAAACAACACTGGATTTGTGAGTCTCTGGTATCTTGAAGCTTTTATGAAGGTGCTATTCCCTGTGGTGTTAAATTATCAATTATCAAGCATTATAAATTCTTGGTGGGAACAATATTTCAATAAGCAACGTGTTTTTCGTGCTTCGATTTGATATTTGTTTTCTTGTCCGCTGTCTATCTCTTACAGAGCCACATCTGTTGACATTTCCTTTAGCCAATGGAAGCTTTTTCTCATCGGTGTTGGACGCTGACACGTCAGCATACTGTACCGTATACAGTATACACGATGCTGGAGCAGTCGCGAGCGGGGATTGAAGAAATCCTCGGCTTGACCACGGCAGAAATTATGTAAGGAGATATCAAAGATCAGATCATGTCTGAAATCAGCGATCAACTGTCAAATAAGTTAATATTAAAATTCTCTCTCAAAACTTTACGAGTTAGAACATCGCCACATTTATGAATTTTTCTGTAAATATAATTAAAAGTGACTGCTTAATCTTTTTTAATAAAATTTTTTATGTGCCTGATAATTATTGAGAAAAGATGGTTATAAGAGAAGTTATTAGATAAAACTTTTGTAAAATCTTAGCAAATATTAATTTTGAAAATTTCAACATTTCACCAAAGGTACAAACACTCAATTTCCTTTTTTTTTTTTGACCCATAACGGGGCCGAATAAGAAAAATATATATGGTGAGAAGAACTAAAAATTTAAAAAAGCACAAGGCACTTCAAAGGAACTACTAAACTACATTTGGATGAGAAATTATGAAATATTCTTCTAATTTAATTTTGGTCTAACGTAACAAAATCATAATAGGTCTTATGCTAACCAATTAATTACATCGTGACTTGTCATCCTTACTTAATGTACCGTGAAACATATGTCAATCACCTAATCATATTTGGACATGCCATTTTTACTTTTTTATTCAACATTTTTTGCAATACAAAAATCTTCATTGATGTTCAAGAGTTTTCAATCAATCACCTTTCCGCTCTTTGAACGTAAAACATTAGATGGTATAGATACCTCTTGTTTGTTCATTTAAAAAGGGGAATCATTGTCCGATCTAAAACTCTGTACCTTTAATTGGATATATTTATTTAGGCCAAAAAAAATTGGATATATTTATAATTTATAATTTATAATATTAGTGAGCTTAACTATTAATATAGGTTGTGTCCTGTTAGACTATGCGTTCGCCTAAGACTGTAGTTAGTTGTATGTTGTTCATGTTTGTGGAATATTTACTGTGAAAGTAAATGCAGAGTGGGTTATGAAATAGTTTTTGAGAAACTGAATATGCGCGCGCTCTTGTTTGCTTGCTTTTAAAATGAGTTTGTGCAGGTTAAAATAGCTACTTCCTCTTATTTATTTTATATAAGACATTTTTTAAAAATTTTATTTAATTCAAAAATCAAAAGATTGGATGTTAAGTAATTTTTATAATTATTTTTTAATTATATCCAAATTCATTTATTATTTTTTGAAAAATAATATATTAAAATTAGAGTTTTAATTGTTATTATCAAGATATTTATATATAATATTTAATGAAGATATAATTAAAAAGATATAATTTAAAAAAAATTAAATTTTACATTGTAAGCTGAGAGAATAAATAATATCAGGATGTCAAATCTCATTATGTCACCTCGTTATTTTCATGTGAACAAACGCGTTCGGAGTAAGGGAAGGCGCAGGAAGCTAGACCGTGTACGGCACGCATTTGAATAGTAATTTACTTTTGGTCTGCCATGACTCGAGCTTTTTTTTTTTTTTTTCAAGAAAATCGCACTTAAAAAGCATAAATTATTATACTTTTGGCATGAAAAATTTTGATATTGTATTGCAAGCTCAGGAGTGCTGATATAATTTTTCTGCTCAAGAGTTCTTATTGTAATTTTTTTTAAGATTAAAAATATAATTTTGTCCTTATGATTTTAAAACACAACAATGTACAACATAATGTTCGCTATGTACCACACAATGTTCACATATTTTTAACTAAAAGTTCACGCATGTCTAATTTATCAGTAGGCTTAATACAAGTTAGGCAAATAATGTACAAACACAATATCCACTATGTTCATATATTACCAACTGAAAATCCATGCATGTCCACATTACCAGTAAGCTTAATATAACTTAGGTAAACAATGTACAACACAGTATCTATCATGCATTACACAATGTTCATATATTCTCAATTGAAAGTCTATGCGTATCCAGTTGATTAGTAGATTAAGCTTAATAAAATGTACAAGTTAAGCAAATAATGTACAGTATAATATCTACTATGCACGACACAATATTTATATATTTTCAATTAAAAGTCCATACTGTCCAGTTGATCAGTAGGTCAGGCTTGACAAAATATACAAATTACGCAAATAATATATAACACAATATCCAATGTGTACAACATAACATTCACATATTATCAATTGAAAGTTCATGTGCATCTAGTTGATCAGTAGGCTGGGCTTAACGAAATATACAAGTTAGAAAAATAATACACAACACAATGCTCGTATGTTGTCAACTGAAAGTCCATGCGTATTCAATTTATTAGTTGGTTAGGCTTAATGAAAAGTTTTTCAGATTCATAAACAATATAAAGTCTGTATATAATATGATAAGATTCATTTACTAACAACACAATGTCTATCTATTTCACATGGTTTGTATAATTAAACTGAATATTTGAAAAAGTTTCTCAAGTTTACGAATAACAAAAAGTCCTCATATAACATGAAGGTGTCTATTTGTTAACAACAGAATGTTCATCTATTTCGCATGATCCATATTGTTAAGTTGAACATTTACAAAAGTTTTTTAGGTTTATAAATAACAAAAAGTCTGTATATAACAATACAAAGTCTATTTATTAATAATAATATTCATATATTTCACATAATTCATCTGGTTAAGTTAAATATTTTCAAATAACATAACAAGATCCACATATTGACAACACAATTTCCTTTTATATTGCACACATCGACATCTTCACAAGGTCCTTATCTATTAATAATATGTTTTCATTGAATTTTCAAGAACAAATGCATCATATTTGAATAATTTACAACCGAATTCACAATTGAATATTCAATATTGATGAGATAATATTCATGTTTCCACAACACATAATCCAATATTTTGAGTATTAGAAGATTAGAAATTGAAGTTTCAGGAAATGCTACTGCATAGTGAGAAGTAGAAGCCATTATCCCTATAATCTAATTAATTGATAGTTGTAATTAACTAATTCACAACAAAACATCCATAAATAACATTAAAAGAACCATATATTTATAACACAAGGTCTATCCATATGACATACACAAACATCTGCACAAGTTAGTTGCAAAGGTTGCATGACGTAAATTTTCATAAATAATAATATAAATTTTATAAATAATATCTACACTAGAACATGACTATTTGCTGCAGAAAAATCTGTATTAAAAATAACAAAAAGTTCATAAATAACAACTTATTTTCATTAAATCAACAATCATGTCCCACTTGAAATTTGCAAGATAGAATTTACAAATAACCCATTTCAAATTTACAATAAAAGGTCCATAAATAACAATTAAAATCTATTAATTAACAACAGAATGTCCATTTAGACACACAGTCTTTAGTCAATGAAACATTTTATAACAAAATAAAAGGAAGGGAAAGAAGCATGGTCTAAAAAGTATAAAGAGATGACGATATGATGTCCTTTAGAGAATCTAGTGTGACGGTGCTATAAAAGTATGATCATAATCAAATGTATTATATTGGTGGGAATTCTAATAATGTAGAATAAGACACAATCCACTCTTATGCGATGGCTTGTGGTGGCGACAAGTTTGTCGTCAACTACCCATAACGACAACTACCCATGATTCATAGTTGTATCAGTAGAAGAATGCAGGACATCATATTTGCCTTCTCAACCATTGCCATAAGCACCATCTTTACAAGAAAATCATTTAAAAAACAACAAAGAATCAATATGGAAGAGGAAGGGAAAGAAGGAAGCTCAAGGAAGTAGAAGAGAGGGAAGAAAATGCGAAGTCAAGAGGTGACCTAAATGTGAGGGGTAATTGGATCATTATACTATTGAACATAATTGTAAATAAAGCCCTTGAGCCTTTAGAGATAAATCAGAATAATTTAAGCTTTATATGCAATTATGTTTACTCTAAGGGCCCTTATTGTGATTCTATTTTTTTTTTAATTACACAATCAAATATTACATATAAGTATTTTTTTAATAAAAATTTAAAAGTTGATTCATCATGAGAAATTATTATTTTCCATTAGACTTAATTTTCTGTCAAAATTTCTTTTTCTTTTTTCCTTTTTATCGAGCATGTTTGAATGAGTTAAGATCTTTTGTTGGAGGATACAATACTTAATGATATGTTTAAGAACCACCTGATAAAATTATTGGATTATCGTAAATATTTGACTTGTTACGATTCACGAGTGATAAACTCGAATGGTTTGCTTTTGGAAAAAAAAACTCAGATGATATAATATATGCAAAAAATGTGCTTAGTTAACAATTTATCACAAAGTACTGATCCGGATTTTTACTGACCTTAGTAGAAAACTAGGCAACTTTTTTTTTTAATTATTATTATTAACATTTTTTTTTCCAACAAAGGCCGCTTTTACTTTTTCCCTTGTCCGTGTCAGCTTTAGCTTTAGCCACGTGTTTTTCTCGTGGTTTATATTCATGGGATATCAAATCACAAATCCTGGAGATCTTTTGTTGATCAAATAAAATCCTCCAAATTTCCTTAGCTTGGAAACGTATCCTCGTATTAAAATTGATAAAAATTTAAAATAAAATGTTTTTAAAAATTCAAATAAAATTAAAAATATATTTTATAAATATTTATGTGTGAAAATGTCAATTTTCGGGACGTGTTAGTATTTTTATTTAAAAATATTGAATCGAAATATTAATTCTACATGTATACATTATAATCACTAAATTGATAAAACATTACACTATTTTCTTAACTGGGTCAGAAGTTCTGCATCATAACATAAGACAACCATTTCTATTAGTTTTGCAAATCCATTTGTTTAATAATATTATTGACATTTTTAAGCATCATTTTAACAAATTTAAGAAAAATTACATCTAGGTCTTGTGAAACAGATTTATTTATAAATAAATTTTATAAAATTTAAAAATTACAGTCAAGTCCTTCAGGACTTGAGTGTAGCATCCTAAAAATTTAACACTGATTAACTAAGTCTAATAGGGTAATTAAGTAAATTAATGTAGCGTGTGGCTGGAGAGGTTTAATGAGTGTATTTGATTGTGATTTTAACCCTAAATTTAGGTCCAAAATAAAATTGGGTCACCCATATATTAAAAAGTGATAAAATATAAAGTTTGTGCCACATGCTATAGTGTGCAGCACATGGTGCGTATATTGCAGTGCATGGTCAAAATTTTGCATAAGTTATTCCATGTTAGAGTTTGAAATTAGAAGGAAAGGAATGAGTGAATGAAGAGCATTCAATAAGCTCTACTAGGGCTTGAGTTTGAGGATCCTTAAGGATATTTTGAAGCCTCCAAACACTAATGCTCTATTTGGTTGGGAATAAAATACGGGAGGAAAGAAAACATGGAGAAAAAATAGAAGAGAAAATAAATTTTTTCCTATTTGGATAAGGAAGAAAGAATGAGAGGAAATAAAAAGTGTGAAAAAGATAAGATATGAAACCCACTGTATTTTTTTTTTCCAACTTTTCTCTTCAAAATTGGAGAAATTTTGGGAGTAAATTTTTTTTTCACCATTTACTCTCCCTCTCTTTCTTATCTATTTCATGTCTAGACTCTTAGGAGATTATTTAATTACATTAATTTAACTTTAATTAAACAATTTGGTTTATAATTTTTAACTTCTATGGTTATAAATTACGTTAATTTAACTATTTAATTAAATAATTTAGCCATTTGCTAAATGTCTAAATTTATTTGATAGAAAACATCGTCGTCATGTGAGCAACTCCAAAATTTAAGGGAGAGGTGTTCTTCCTTTTGTTAATTATGTAAACATCATTTTTCAATAGTTGATGACTTTTAATTAACTTTGATGAAAGTCATTTATTTTGTGATTGTTGAATTTCAGAATTTACCCTTATGATAGCTATTGTTGTGTTTCATGCTGTAATTTAATGCTATTGATTATCAAATTATGCGGGTGTGTGACCTTTTGAGATTATACAATGATATTAATGTTCCTCCTTAACGCCCATTGTTTAAAATTCATTCAACAAGGCAAATGAGTGACATTGCAAATTGAATTTGTTATGATGGCTTTGAGTTAAGCTTCATGAACTATTGAAGTTATGGCCTATTTTTTTATTTATTTTTCATTTTAAGGAATAAAGGTTGCAAAGTTGCTTGAATTTGAGGGCATACAAACACATTTAACTTTTGTCTGTAGTATTTCATTATCAATGTGTTGGAGATTTTATGTTTATAATTTTATTAGTGCCGACTTTTGATTTTAAAATGTGAAAATAACATATTCTATTAAATTATTTGATTTTAAAATATCATATAAAAATACATTTTTAGCAAATAATTTGATTTTAAATTAATTTGATTGTATTAATTTTAATATAATTTCTACTTCCAATTTATTTTTACAAATATAATTACATGAAATATGATATATTTTGATATCAAGGCATTATAGTTATTATAATATCTGTTCATTTTCTTTCTTCCCTATTTTCTCCTGTTCATCCAAACAGGAGAAGTGATATAATATTTTCTTTTCATTTTTATCTTCTCTTCATTTTCTTTTTCCTCAACTTTTCTTCCCATCCAAATGGAGGATAAAAGTAAGTCTCATATGCCCTTTATCCTTCCTCATTTTCTTGAAGAGTTGAGTTAGGGTTTGAGTTAATGAAGTAATTTTTGATCCATAAAGGTCATGGGTATGAATTCATTAACTTAAATAGAGTTGATGGGAGTTATTTAAATTATTTAAACCTAGCGTTAATGGTTTTACAAATTTTTTATTGGTGAGTGCCATTAATATCCAACAAATTGAACTTTAACCACATATTAGAATCAACCATGAATTTGTAATATAATATATGCTGAGATTATAATTTTTAATGGCAAAAAACTCAAAAGAATGGTTCAATAAAAAGGCAAGTAAAACACATGGTTAAAAATTAGTCTTGCAGCTGCTCTGTGCCTGTGTGGTTTGTTGCTTTGTCTCAAATTTCAAAACACACGTTTTAGAGTTGGCATCTGAAAACAAAACAATTAGTCTTAAATGTTTGATTGTCTTTTATTGTTACTAGAAATTTTCATATACTATTCCTAATAATTTCAAAAATTAAATATTAGGATTTTATACCTTCATCTGTTTTCCTATTAAATCCTTACAAACCATGAATGAAGAGACATCGTACGCAATACTTAGATAATAATTCAGTTTATTATGAATCACAAATCCATAGTATGTGCTACATCCAATCATGAAGAACTTACTTCACCCTATAATTATTTCCTCAACGTGTGCAGAAGGTGATGCAAGGAACTACACCATATGGTTCATAACTAAAATCTATAAGAATCTTTACAACTTTGGGCTCACCAACATTCAATTTTAAAACATATTAATGCCATAATATGAAATAAAGCAAGCTTAAAGTAGTTTTGCAAAGTTGTACTGCTTCTATAGCAATAAAGTAAATCAATAAAAATAATAATTAATGTTTCCAATACTGCTAACAACTCAGGAAGTAGAGACTTAAAGAGCAATGATCTCAAACAGTAGTGACATCAAGTGAACAAAATATGGCTTCTACTCATCTATATAAGATTAAAAATTCAACAAAATAACCCGTAAATGCTGGGAAACCATGGATATAGATTCCTTAAAGACTAAGACTCATGTGTTCAAACTATTCATTCTTTAGTCTTAGAAAGATCTTTGTATCACAGGCATTAGTCCCTATATCACAGAGTTTGTGTTCATCCCTTATTTTGCTTTTTTTTTTACAATATTTATACTAACAGAAGATACAAATAACAAATCTATATCTATATTATACCAACATTAGCACAAAAAATGTTGTTGCTCAACTTCTGGCTTATTCTTTTCAACGATTTTGTAGCATTCATATGCTGGATAAGAATAGCCAAAAATCATCCTAACAACACAAAAAAATATATTAACTTTTGAATATTACAAATTGAACCTCTAACATTATGAAAGATGATAGGTTAGGATGGTATAAAACATACATAAGCACTATAGTAAGAAAGGATTCTTCATTTTGTGTTCCGGGCATAAAGAAAAGGAACAAATGTTCAACAAAACTGTAATGATATGACTATTAAACTTCATGTAGAACAATTTTAAAAATAAAGGAAGAACATAAAATCACAAAAACATAAGCTTAGGGAACAAGGGGATATTTCAATATTGTAAGGCTCATCAGGTAATGATTATTAGCGAGGAAACATGGAATAGTAAATAAGAGAAATCCTAAAGTTTCTCCCACTAACGTAGATATTAAATGAATTCAATTGAATACTATGGTGAATAAAATTTAAATTGCAAGGATGTTAATACCCCACATCCTATCATTTTTTTTTATAATTCATAGTTGACTTTCTCTTTATACCTTCTATAACAACCAACCACAAATTTTTCAGAACACAGAAAATAAATAAATAAATAGAATAAGAAACTAGTTCGCATATCTTGGAGAAGGGCATCTGAATGCTTGGTGACATAAATGGCAGATTTGGACATTTAGAATCTAGTTTTACAATGGCAATGAACTTCTCTTGCAAGGTGTCAACGATGACAAGCTTCTCAAACAAGATTTACAGCTCTCGTGGTGATTGGTTGGCGGTTGTAGTTGGAGGACAGCGTAAATGAAAAAGGACGGAGAGAGATAGTGGAGTGAGAAAGCTGAAACTAAAAGTACATTTTAGTTAATTAAATAAATTACTTTATGAATAAAATATTAAACTTGATTTTTAAATATGGCTTGGTGCTAGAAACAATTTATGTTTTAATCAGGTATTTATAACCAATTTTCCAAAAAAAAAAATCATTTGTTGTAATTTTTACAACGAACAATTTTTTTCCGTCAAATCAAAGTGACCCTAATCCAGCACCAGCTTACGAAGATTAGCACCTTCTGCTCCTTATCGATCGTCGAAGTAATCAAGCGTTCCTCTGATTTTCTGTTCCAGACATAAAATTTGCAAATTTTCACTGAGGAAAAGGAGTAAGGAACAAACTTATTTGGCGAAGATAAGAAAATGTCAGTGGAACCTCCTCCTTTCCAAGAATCAGCGCGATGTGATGTCTGCAATTGCAGCTTCAACACCTTCAGGAGACGGGTACCTCTCTCCTTTCTCCCTACCCATCCCCTAATAAAGAACTCTCGGTGATTGATCATTTTAGTTGTGCGTATAACTAACTATTCACTGCTTGATTTTACACTCGTAAGTTTGAATATTTGGGTAGAGATCGTGTTCCGTGGAATTCAGATAAACCAAGAGCAGGTGTGCTGATGAGATCGTGTCACGACATTCAGTGTCTTGCGAAAAGTATTGAAATGTTTTGAATTGATATGATCTTGCATTAGGATAGGAGGATTGATGAAGCAGAAGTACAGTGGCTTTATTTTATGGTGTTTAGATATTTATCATTATAATTTTAATTATAATGTAATGTAGTAATGATTGCAGATTGGAATGAATTCAAAGATTCTGTAGAAAAACTTATGGACTGAATTGGCATATGATTAGGGCGATCCAGCTTAGACTGTTCTGTCCTGTGCAGTGACCAAAGATATGGTTTTGGTAATACCAGCTGTATCGACCAGTAATGGGAAACCATGAAGCTACTCCTAATTTGATGTCAAATTATGATGTTCGGAGAGGGGAGTGAGGGGGGTGTAAGGGGAAAACCGGAAAAGCTGCAACGGGAATAGTGCCCTCGTCTGAGAGTTTAAAAATTTGAGAAGGGGAAGGGGAATGATAGGGAACCATTCCTCCTCATTCCCCTTCAAATTATTTTTCAGTTTCACCGTTATAATTTAAAAATTTATGTCTGTTTGGCATCTGCTTGCAGCACCACTGTCGATGCTGTGGGAGAACATTGTGCCATGAACATTCATCAAATCAAATGGTATTTTTTTTTTTCATATTTTTTAGTGGTCATGGGGTCCTTTTATACATGGATGAACTTTATTCAAGGACATCTTTATTTGCAGGCTTTACCACAGTTTGGCATTTACTCAAATGTTAGAGTATGTGCTGATTGTTTCAACAATTCAGGGTAAATTACTTTCTGGTGAACATCATATCTTGTTACACTTGTTGAATTAGCTTTTGATTACAAAGCTAGATATCCTGCTGGAATTAAAAGCTTCAGGTTCTTTTGAAATTATATTGTTTAGCACCTATTGTATGCCTAAGCTTAATGCTTGATCTATCAATTGAATAAGGAGCAGAGTGCTCTGTGTGCAAATTAGTAATTGGAACAGAATACTGGCATATTCTTCTATTCTGGGCATCGTCAAGTGCAGAACAACTTAATCTCACTGAGGTCTGACTGGTATCATTCTAACGATGCATTTGAAACTGTTGGAGATATTATTAAATAAATTTGGTTCCTTCACTTAACAACATAAAATTTTGTGTTGAAATGGTCTTTGATATCACATTCAAGCCTCTATGATTGAGTGCTCAAGTTTATTACTTTAATTTGTATCACATTGAATTATAAAATGTCTACTATTTCAATATTAGAAAAATGTCACTTTTTTGGATGTTTCATTTCCTTATAATCACTCCCCAACAAACTTGGGAGTGCCCTTAGAGTAAGAGGAGATATTGAAGTACTCTTATGAGCTAGTGGAAAGTTGTAGAGATTGCTAATCCTCTCGATTGAAAATACAAGACAAACATTTCAGTTAGCAAGGCTTGTGTCATTTGCAGTATCCTAACAGCAGTAGAGATTGTTAATCCTCTTAATTGACAATTCTGTCTATGGAAGTAATCTTCAGTTGAATTACTAGGTAATAGTCATAAAACTTTGATTTAATTTTGAGATTTTTTCATGCTTGGGCTGGGCCCAGTAAGGACTAAGGATAATATATTGAAGGAATTATTCAGTTGGTGGAGCGCATCTATTGTGAGCTTTCATCTGTAGGCGTCCGAATACTTCTGCAGATTTTTTTTTAATTTTTTGTCGGGATAAGCAGCCTAGTGCACCACTGCTGTTATCAATAGCTCAATAAATTTTACCTTCGAGCTGATTAGTATTTTCTTCCCAGTCTGAATAGGTTCAGGCACTTGATAATTCCCATGGCTAATTCAATTGTATCAACTCTAGTTAATATTATTTAGGGAGGAAAAGTAAAAACTTTACAAGATATAAACTTTGTGGCCTGTTGCGAGACCATGCAACGAAGCCAAAGATCTTACTAGGTGTTACAGCTAACAGCTTCAATCTTTGGTTATAGATTTTTTTTATACTTTGCCATCAATCTAACGCCGCAAAGCAATAGACTTAGAGGAATATATTTCTTACAATATAGTCTTACTTTTTTTTTTAATGGTTTTCCTTGTATATTATTAATGCTTTATCACTCATATTTCTTTTAGATGGTTGGAGTTACTTTCAATTACGCACTATGATTGTGCTTGACATCAATTGTAACTTTCTGCATGAAACTGCAGCATCTGTCACTCTAAGAAAATTAAATTATATTTCTTTGAAGGCACAATTGGTTTGTGGTCTAAACAGTAAACAACAGGAGGAGAAAGCCCTCTTACTTTGAGGTGGAGCTATTGGCAGATTCATTTTTTATTTCCGTTTCCTTGGAGGACTGTGGCTATATTTCTTTTCTCTGGAAAATTTGTATTGACCATGCTTATCTGTATGAATATGTTATCTATTAAATCAACGATAAATTATGTCTTTTGTTTGGTCAGATCTGGGAAGCATGACCCACAGCTTTCTTCGGATGGAACAAATAACATTACAAATGTAATTTCCAAACTAGACATCGACGCAGATGTAAATTCTAAGACAGCATCAAGAGCAGAGAGTAAGGTTGCATTAGACATAAAAGAGTGTAAGTGTGGAATGCCTCTTTGCATTTGTGAAGCTCCAGCCCCTTCCTCTGATGCACTGCCCCAGCAGGTATTAGACTTATATTATAATAAGGTGCACACATCATTTGCGGTCTTGTACTCATGGGTTTCTTTTTTCTCCTTGCCCAAGAAGAAAATCACTCCAGTCACAAACACCTCTGGCAAAACCCTAAACCAAAGAAGTCAGATGTTGTTCCTAAAAGTAAAAGCTCCACATCAAACAGCAAGTTTAGGTGCGTATTGATTGTTAGATCTGTGTCTTCTATGACTGTATATTTTAACCTGTTTTAATTTATTATTTTAGTACGTATTTAAAGATTTGCCTATGTTGATTAAAACCTGGTTTGTCATTTTAGTTCATTTCAGTCTAGAAGAGAAGAGAGGAGTTTCATATCTTGAATGTTTTAAATTACAAATTACAATATGCTTTTTTCCCAGATGCCTAAACCCTATTAGTCTAGTCCTAGAGCATTATATATTTCAACTTCTTGGTAAGGTTTATTATTGTTATTATTATTATTTTTTGCTATGCTCATCTGCAAAGGCGCAACTCTTTTATCCCCCCCTTTTTTCAAGATGTCGTACATTAAATAATGAAGCAGTTATTATTTTGGTTTTCACAAACTCAGTACCTGATTATCCTCTCCAGTGTTTTGTTTTGTGTTACCACTCTTTGATGTTCGTTATGCAAACTACAGTTCTTTCAATCTTGGTCACGTATCCAGTGGTGCCTCTGATGGTTCCCGGATGGAGTATGAAGCTACTGGAGGGTATTATATCTTTACGTAGATTTTAGCAACGTCCAAGGCCCCGTTGCACTAAATATCTTAGTTGCTGCAAATTGCACACTAATTGCATTTTATGCTCTCAGGGTTTGAGAGAAGCAATAAAAAATGGTGACGTTGCTTCTGTCAAGAAACTTCTAAATCAGGTTCCCCCTTTCCCACCAATTTTCATGAAAAAACAACCAATGATCCCCCCTTTTTTGCATTTTCTAGGATCGGTATTTATGTATGAATTTAATGTGTGCAGGGTGTGGATTCAAATTACAGGGACAAGCAAGGACTTTCTTATTGCATTGGTATTACTCTCTTCTGTACGCATGCACGCCTAACCAACGTCTGTATCTACATGCATAAATGTAATATATTTTATAATCACATAATTTCCTACTATTTTCAACATTTTATGCAGGCTGCTGTCTTCAATCAGACTGATATAGTTTTCATTCTCATGGAGCTGGGGCAAGCCTAGAGTACAAGAATGCACAAGGTAATCAATCCTTTCTCTTCAGCCATTTACAATGTTGTTATTAGTTACGTTGGAACTTGGAAGGCCCCTGATTGATTGCTTGTTGTTCAGGAGAAACGCCCTTTCGATTGTGCGCCAGCTACGTTGCAATACAAAATGCGAAAGAAGATGGAAGAGGGCAAGGCAATGGATGGTCAAAGCATTTGATTAACATGTTACTACTTCTCTACTTTACTTGCTTATGCTTTGGCTTGGGGAGGCCAAAGCAAGATTGACAAAATACCAGCGTCTAAGAGACCTTTGTTTGCCCAACAATACATTTTGGCTTCTATATAATGCAAAAGGGTGTTTATTTCCTTTCTTTTGCCACGACATTGCTCGGTAACATGAAGGATATAGAACATATCTTTTTGCACCTCAGAATCTTCTGAACTGCACCATACACCAGTTCAGTGTATGATCGTTAGTGAGAATAAAGGGTGTTTATTTCCTTTCTTTGCCACGACATTGCTCGGTAACATGAAGGATATAGAACATATCTTTTTGGCACCTCAGAATCTTCTGAACTGCACCATACACAGTTCAGTGTATGATCGTTAGTGAGAATGTTGCTTTCTCACGCTGCAAGCATGTATCACCTGCTTTCATTTCTTTGCTATTTTCTATTTTAAGGTGTTAATGGAGGATGAAATAGAGAACGAAAATTAATTTCAGGTGCAGTAGTCTCTTAGATGTCACTCAGTTTCTCACCCTGATCTTGATTGTTTGTTGCATGGATGGAACGAAACGACTGGCTCTTATCGATCTGTCCCTCGGCTGGCCCAGATCTGAATTTTTGAAATTTGAACATGTTTATTAATCCGTTTATGCAGTTTTCAAGAAAGTCTCTCGGTTTTTATTATTTGTTTGTTTGAAATTTGAATCACTATAATTTAACGAAAGTAACATGTAAAAAGAAAAGCGAGAAATTTCCAGTCTGTTTAGATAATTTTTAAAATTTATCACCATGGTAATCTTTTGCCTGCAGCGAAAGTTACCAGAGGGAGACTTCTACATTGACTTGGACTTCTTCTTGCTCCATCAAAACAATTACTTGGACATAATAATTATTACTCAACAATTTTAAAACCCATGATACCACAAAAAAAAAAAGGAACAGGAAAAAGAAAAATAAATGTAAAACATCACAAAACCCATAGATTTGATTCATAGTGCCTGTTTGGATAATTTGGAGAATCAATTTTAAACGTTAAAACCATGATTTTGTAGAATTACATCCAAATATTCATTTTATATATGAAAATCAACCTAAAAATATGGTTTGTAGAATATTTATATGGTTTTTTGATAAATTTTTAAAAAATTATAATTGAAAACCTACAATAAAAAACATGTAATAGTAGCTTATGATATAACCGTGATTTTAAATTCATAATTGATTTTGACTTGTATAAGGTGCTTGTTGGATTTGTATCTAGAATTAATTATTTGGACCCTAACCATGGTTTTGATTAAAAAAAAAAATTCAAACACCCATTTTTTTCATGATCAATTATTTGGATGAAGACCACGTTTTTGCCTAAGTTGGAGGAAGTAGCTTTTCAATTTTAATTATACAGTCATATGCATTTATCATGTCTCAAGAAGTTCCACTTGCCAAATATGCCTAATGTGCCCCGGTGAACCATACATCCTTATTGTGTTATTGCAGCCTCTCGTGATCTCATCACGCATGCATCAATGTGATATCCATTTTCTGTCTCAAATTTTTTTTTTTTTGTGCTCATTGGTAATTGTTTGGTTATAAGGAAATTAGTAGCATCAAGCTTTCAAAAATCTATTTTTATCGGTAAACAGGGCTCATGTCCTCCTTGAGCCAGATTTACAAAATAATTTCCAGAAAAAAAAAAGATTAAATGTGTTATTTAAGGAATCAACACAATTTTTTATAAATAGTTCACTTAACCAAACTTTTTTAATCTTTATAAAGTTTTATCAAATTTTTTTTGCTGGTCGATATAAATAGTTAAATATTAAAAAATACATACTAAAGATTCTATATTCTGATAAAAATTACTAAATGTAATATTAATATAATTTAAATTTCTATGATTAATCAAATATATAAGTTAAATATACTTGTATAGAGTTGAACAAATTTAATAATATTACTATACACAACTTTATTAATATTTTAATTTTTAAAAGCAATTTATTTTATGGTAATTTGTACATTTAAAATTACTTCTAACTAAATTATCCAAATATTTTTAATTTTATTAAAAGAAAAAATATAACTTTGGATCCTTACACTTCGCTCGAGTTTTGCTATAGGTTCCTACACTTTTTTTCTAATATTCTAGGTTCTTATACTTTTATTTTTTAGTGTTCTAGGTGTTAGTTTTCTCTTTTAATAAAATCAATTTCAAAAAACAATATCCAAACATTATCAAGTTATAACATAATCAATTATAATTAAAGTTAATTATATTAATTAATTTTTTTATAATCAATTAAATCCAATTGAAATTCAAACAGGCTCAAGGGTGTTTGGATAATTTTTTAAAAATTATAGTTTTATATTTATAATTATTTTTAACATGTATAATGAGTGTTTGAATATTTTGATAAAAATATAATTTTAAATTCATAATTGATTTTAACATATTGTAATGCACTTGAATATATTTTCACAAAACCATAGTTTTACCTAATTTTTAGTTCTGCTTTTCAATTTTGCTTTTTGATACTAATTTTTAATTTGATTAAAATCAATCTTATTAATCAAATTTATAAATCAATTATATATATAGTATAATATAATTAATTATATTTAAAATTAATCATATTGATCAAGTTTTTTCTAACGCATGGACAAACGACCCATAAAATTTAGTGTAAAACGACTGTCATAAAATAGTGCAGTTTAAGAATAAATCTTCCTATCTATTTTTTTGTTGGCCAACAATCTTGCTATCCATTTCAAATCTAACGAAAATATTTTATTATAAAAAATAAAATAAATAAATCTAACTAAATTATTTAAAGTCAAATATACAAATAGCAAATCGCGCATCCTAAGTCCTTACAAGCATCATTCACGAGCCTAATCCCACAATTTAGCTTTCCAAGAAATTATGTCATATCAGAAAAAAAGATTTCTTTTTGTTTGGTTAACAAGAAACGATTTATAGGTAGTAGATGATTCATTGTTGAAGGAACTGAGGGCTTGCAGGGGTAGGATTTGGAATGAGGAATCTAGAGAAAGGATGAGGGATATCACTGCAAAAATTGAAGAATTAATCTATTGGTGGCAGAGAGCAAGGCTGAATTTGATTAAGTTTAGGGACAGAAATTCATCTTTTTTTTTTTTCACAACACTGCCATCCAGAGACAAATAAGAAGTAAGCCGTTGAAGGCCAATAATGGTGATTGGTTAAAAGATATTGGAGAAATTGATGCTGTTTTTTTTTTTTTTAAACATCATAAATGTTTGTTCACATCTTCAAATCCGAGTAATATGGAAGAAGCATTAAGATATATTAGAAGATTTATTTCTGATGAAGATAATCAATTACTTGTTGCTACAGTTAATGAAGAGGAGATTAGAGATGCTGTTTTCCAGATAGGAGCCTCAAGAGTGCCTGGACTTCATGGCCATTCAGGTTTGTTTTTTAGTCCTCATGGCAGGACATTAAAAATGATGTTTGTAAAATGGCATGGGAATTTTTTGGAGAAGGTTGTAGGCTGGATATGATCAATAAAACTAGTATTGTATTAGTTTCAAAAAAATGATAAACTTAAATTAGTCAACCATTACAAACCAATTGGGCTTTGCAATGTGATTTATAAGATCATTGCAAACATTATGATGAATAGAATGAGAGGTTTGATGTTGAAGTGTGTTTCTCAACAGCAGAAGGGTTTTATCTCTGAATATATGGCTCAAGATATATATTGTTGTTCACGAGGCCTTTCATTATTTAAAAGGAAGGAAGGAGGGATCTAGAGTTGAAGTGGCTTTGAAGTAAGATATGAGCAAAGCATATGACGGTGTGGAATGGGAATTCTTGAAGCAAGTTTTTTGTTGAAAATGGGTTATGGGTTACTTGGGTAAGGTGGATTATGGAATGCATCTCTTCGGTTGAATTTGAGTTGATGATTGGTGGAAGAAGTGTTGAGAAGAAAGTGGTTGATGAGTGGCTATGCGTAGATTTGGTTCAGGAGTCGTTTTATTTGAAAAATTTAGGAGGTAACTTGGTTTCTCCTTAGTGTGTCGCCATGATAATAGGGCTGCAAATTGTTTAGTAGCATTTGGTGCTAAAGAAATTGTCCAACAGGATGGCTTAGTCAAGCGACATTCCCTTTATCAGATATCTTGCTTGCTGATGCTTCTGGGATTAAAGCTCCTTTTTTTTCATTGTGCTTGTAGGAACCTGGACAATATATGATATTAGCTAATTCTCTCTCTCTCTCTCTCTCTCTCTCTCTCTTCTCTCTCTCTCTCTCCTCTCTCTTCTCTCTCTCTCTCTCTCTCTCTCTCTCTCTCTGTTTAGGTTGTATCTAAGTTTCATTGCTTTCTGTTTTTTGAACTTATTGGTTGTACTTAGGTTTTATTGCTTTTTGTTTTTTGTTTTATAGGTTGTAGTAAGGTTTTATTGCTTTCTTTTTTTCTTCTCGTTGATAAGTGGGTGTAATATTTTTTTTTCTCATCAATAAAATTGACTTTTTTGGCCAAAAAAAATATTGATGAGCTTTGAATTTGTAAGACTTTTATTTACATCATACTTTTTATTTGTTTATTGAAAATTTGGTTTTTTTTTTTTTAAAAGCCCAGACGCAGTCTCGACATAAGAAAAATATTCACGCAAAAAAAAAAAAAAAATTCCGTTGTCGTGAACGAAATAATCTTGCCTCTAGAATCTCAGGTGGGAGTTGGGACTAAGGAAGGCTGTTTAGTCTATGGAGCGGTCCATGGTCTGAAGGGGGAGACCAGAACAGAACCATGATGGAGCTTTAGAGAAATATAGAACAGACAGATCCAAACCGTTACTTTGTCTCAATTGCTTCTTCGCTCTCCATTCTCTCATTTCTCATACTATTCACTCTGATCTACTCTCTTTTTCTTTTATTCTCATTTTCGAGGTATAATTCTCTTTCGTTTTCCCATCATTTCTGGTACATCGAATTCCTTCGTCGGCGGATGAGTTACTGATTGTGAAGACTTTTCCTTGTGTTCTTAGGATTGGCGGATCTTGTTTTGGTTTCTTTTGATCTTTAATTTAGCTGCATTTTCTTTTCGAACTGAATTATCTGGGTGGTGATCTGTGTGGGGGTTTGAATTTTGCTGTCAGGAGTATAGTCAAATAATGGCTGGAGGTGCTGCTGGGGGTTTTGTGACTCGAGCATTCGAGTCATTACTCAAAGAGTGTTCTTCTACGAAGAAGCATCCCGAGCTACAGAAGGCTCTTCAGACATACATAGGTTGCCAAACCTAGATCCTGTTTTACATTGCTTTTCTCTTCTCTTCTCTATTTCGGTTGTCGTTATGACCCATGCTTTTGTCTATTCCCAGCGATCTCTTATTCTAGTCCAATTAGTGGGAATGCCGGTGCTACTACTATGCTCATGGTTTCATTAATTGCTTTGTGGATTCTGTTTTCCCTTCAGATGTTACGAAAGGGGTGAACCAGATACAGCAGGCCACTCCTGCTGAGGCCAGTCAGGCTGCACCCTCTGCGGAAGATGAGAGGTAAGAGTCGCAGATTAATCTTGTTAATTTTGCATTTTTTTTTCCTGTTCTAACTTTTAATATTAGCATTGTCACACAAAAAAAAAAAAAGGTTATTATTGTCAAAGCTACTATAAAGCTCCGAGAAAAACCTGCTTTCTTTACTTTTTGGTTCTATGCATAATTTTATCATGATTTGAGAACTTTTCTTTGCATTTTAAGTTTACCATGTCATGGAGAAGGTGCATGATTCCTACTCTCCTATTAGTGTTTGGCTGCCTGGTGGTTCCATTGGGGAGTCTTTCTAGATGTTTTGTTGGCATCATTGGCATGTTAAGTGCAACGGTATTATGTTGCAAATCATTATAGTGAGAAATTATAGTTCTTTGAACATTGCCTTTTGATTTAGTCTTTGGAGCTAATAATAAATTAACTGCAATAGTATCATCAATTTTTTCTACTGTAAGCTGTTGAACAAATCAGGTAAAGGAAAATGAATCATACTTATGCGATGAGAGTGAGATCAATCCTTCCTTGTTGAATCTGGTCTTTGGAGATGTTTGGTTATAACATGTAAATATATATTTTTTGTATTTGTAGTACGCTTGATTCTGAAGCTGGAGCTGTAGCTAGAACAGAAGCAGATCAATCACAGAAGGCTGAACATGTTATTGAGGAGCCAGAGCCTAGTAGCAGGCCTAAGAGTGGAAACATTACTGCTATTTTAGCTCATGCTGGGCATACTCTTGAAGGAGCTGATGCAGAGCTGGTTTTGAAGCCACTTAGACTTGCCTTTGAGACAAAGAACTTGAAAATTCTAGAACCCGCCTTAGACTGTCTCCATGTATGTGCTCACCTTATTAATTCTATGTCTTTACCCATTAATGGAAGGAGGGAGAAACACTTCTATTTCATCATTGACCATATGTTTTATATGTATATAAATGTATGTATGTTTGCTTAAATATACACACTATTGCTAAGATGTGACATATTCTTAAATCTTACAAGTAACCATGCATATTGATGGTAAAATGGAGAGAGTTAACTTGTTCTACTTAATTACTTTAAGCACAGAAACTTATTGCTTATGATCATTTGGAGGGAGATCCTGGGTTAAATGGTGGTAAAAATGTCCCACTATTTACAGAAATTCTGAACATGGTTTGCAGTTCTATTGACAATTCATCACCTGACAGGTACGCATCAATGTAATTTTTTTTTTTAAAATGCATTTCTGAATTCAAGTTTCTTATTTCACTTATTTAATCGGATGAATCAAATGTAGTACTATACTCCAAGTGCTGAAGGTACTTCTTACTGCTGTCGCCTCGGCAAAGTTCAGAGGTACTGTTATTTTGATAAATCAAATCCATTTTCTTGTGATGCTTGTCCGCTGTTAATAATTTATTACCTTGCACGGAACATTCTTGGGATCTTGCATATAGGTTTTAGTTTAATGTATCTTGTTTTTACTTTAGTTGTGGTAAGCGAAGTGAGTGTATTTTGTGTACTAGTAAATGGTTAATAATATATTGTTCATTAAAGTCAAACTTTTTCTCAAAAGGAGCCCGAATTTCATGTTTAATTAGAATTCTTTTTTATTATTCAAATATTCTTTTCATGAGTATCTTGCGTTCATTTTAATGGCTATTGCATTATCAGAAGTGAAGATACCTGTAAGAGTAGGTTTAACAGAATTTTATCCCCGTTTATCTTTCAATAACCTAAGGTAACTAAGGAAATTTGTTGATGACTTTCTCTCTTTAGCTTTCATTATTTCTGGCCAAAAAAAAAAAAAGCTTTCATTGTTTGTTTTGGCTGCATGTTGCCTTCATATTTGTTTTTATATTTGAGAAGTGAAAGATGATAGTTAGTTATGAGGCTTTCAGTCTAGAACTAGAATTCTCATTCCCATTTCTTTTTTGTATACAATTTACATTCCAATTCTAGTCCATTTAAAAGAGTCCACTTTAATGCATTGACTGGAATCTTTTTTGTAAGCACCTTGCTTATGTGATACAGTAACAGGAGTGAACTGAAACTGAGAGGTGGTTGAATACAGTATAAAATTTCAGTCAACAGATCTACAAGATCTGGAATAGTTGGCTAATTTTCCTTCTGCCAAATTTATTATTGATTTGAAATGTATCGAAATGGTGCAAAGTCTGAGATAGAAACAGAGCCCTCCAATTGGGCATAACGCGGCAATACCTTATCAATGAGTTATGATGCTTCTAATTGATGATGATTGCATTTTAACGGAGAACACAGTGCTTTTAAACTGGGTTATTTCTCTGTGAAGGTCTGCTGTTATCTATAATCACTTTATTGCTAATTGTTTTTTTTTTTTGTGGGGGGGGGGGACGTTCTATGTTTTAGACAAAGAACTTAAGGGGCACATTACTGCTTCCTTTCTTGTGCTATCACAATTTATTTTCAGTCATGGCATTGGTTTGTTCAATGTAATCATACAGTACTCTGGGACTATAGATACATGCATGCTTCTAGCTGCGCTGTGTCAGACTGATTTTCTTATGGTCCTTTGCATAGAGAACTACTTTTTCTGCCATAACATGCGGTGGTTCTCTGCTCTGTTTTCTCTTTGTTTTAGTTTTTGGATCTTTTTTCTATTTTTCTTTGAGTGTGTTTTTGGAACTCATCTTCATATTATAATGCCTGTCCCTTGTTCAGTGCATGGGGAGCCTTTGCTGGGAGTTATTCGAGTATGCTACAATATTGCTTTGAACAGGTACTATTGCTTCTTGCATATTCTCCGAGGCCTGTAATATTAGTATTCACTACTTACCAGTTACATTCATTGCCTGGATATATAGCAAGAGTCCTATAAACCAAGCAACAGCGAAGGCAATGTTGACACAGATGATCAGCATCATTTTAAGAAGAATGGAAACTGATCAGGTGTGGAATTCAAATCCCTTGCATTTAGCATCTTTGGAGTATAACTGTAATGGCATGCCATTAGTGATGTCTATCAAAATATCCAGGTTGAATTTTCATCTGGATCTGGTGTACATTCAGAGGAAGCTTCATCAGAGAATTTGAACACAAAAATTGAGGAAGCTTCCAAGGGGGATTCAAATGACAAAGAAATGACTCTAGGTGATGCGCTTAGCCAAATCAAGGATGCATCTCCAACATCGCTTGAGGAACTTCAAACTCTTGCTGGCGGTGCTGATATCAAGGTGAAAGATGTGCATGTGTATTTCTTTTAGATAAAGTTCATTAAGGGGAGGGTAAGATATAAATGAGGATAACTGAGTATCATCCTAAGAAGATAATTGAGGATAAGATAGCTGTTAGAATCCTATTGAGTCTCACATTGGGTAGTATTAGATGTCTAAATAGGCCTATAAGTCTCGGGGTTTTGACTTCCTAACTGACCAGTCTTTTGGAAGAGAATCTCCTTTGGGCTTGCACAATAGCTACCTTGGATGGCTGTAACTGACAAGATGGATGAATGTGCTACCAAGAGTGGAGCTGTTGTGGATGTTGGCTATGAAGGGTGGGTCTCTGTAAGGATCCTGTCAAACCCCATGTTGGGTAATTTGGGATGCATAAGTGGATTTATAAGTCTTTGAGGCTCTTCCTAATAAGCTAGTCTTTTGGGGGAGATTCTCCTCTAGGCTTGTAACAGTAGTTAAAAAAAGTGCATATTATGTATGTAATAAAGTATATATTGTACCTTTTCTTTTACGTGTTGTACAGGGCTTAGAGGCTGTACTTGACAAGGCTGTGCATATTGAAGATGGTGAAAAGATAATCCGGTATGAATATGATATTGTCCTTTTGGTTTTACATTGTATATCTTTTACTCAGAGTAGATGTTCAGACTATTAGTCTTGTTTCTTTCAAGAGGAATTGATTTAGAGAGCATGGGTATTGCACAACGTGATGCTCTGCTGGTCTTCCGTACTCTTTGCAAGGTAGGTTGTCTGTTCATTGTGATATTGGAATCGCAGCTAACTCCTTGTTAACCTCTCTTTTGCTCTGTGCATTAATTTGGCAGATGGGTATGAAAGAAGATAGTGATGAAGTTACAACCAAAACACGCATATTGTCCCTTGAACTTCTGCAGGTGATGAAGTGACTTAATATCTGCTTCTGGCTTTTAATTTGATTAGTTAGTCAAATAATGCAGCATCATGGATGGGGTATTGTATTCCTCATCCCCAAACATGTAGAAAAATATTTGGCCCATCCTTGGGTCTGTGCCAGCGTGGTTAACAAAGTGTACCTCCATCTTTCTCTTTTGAATCCCCTGCGGGAAAATTTTCTAAATGAAAGTTGTTCACAAGTTGAGACTTGTTTACTTCAAATCAATTCATATAAAATCACAACCAAAAAAAAAAAAATTGGAATTCTCTGAAACACCAAAAGAATGCAATAGGGGTATCCATAGGGATATTTTACCTATCCCTATTTACAGGCATTCGGAAATAATTTCTTGACAGGAAAGAGGTTGATATATTGTTTAGCAATCTTCATTCTTCGATATTTGATTTTCAGGATTACCTGTTTTTGAAAGTTACTAGTTTGTTTGTTCCATGCTAAGTGTTTGATTGTTATCTCAAGGATCCTTTGTTTTCTTTTTCAGGGTTTGTTGGAAGGAGTTAGCCATTCATTTACAAAGAACTTTCATTTTATTGATTCAGTGAAGGCTTATCTTTCATATGCATTATTGCGAGCTTCAGTCTCACAATCCCCTGTCATATTTCAGGTTGTGTTTTCTTTGTTTGTTTGTTTGTTTGTTTGTTTGTTTTTTTTTTTTTTGTTTTTTGAATCTGGTTATCTTTCCTCACTTACTTAAAGTGGTTTGTGAAACTTATGGTGATTATGTACTTTTTTGACAGTATGCCACTGGAATATTCTCTGTGCTGTTACTGCGATTCAGGGAGAGCCTCAAAGTATGTATATCATATTGCAGATGTTACAGTAGCTTCTTGCTACTGAAATACTGTTAATTTGATGGGTTTTTTTCTTTTTTCAAGGGTGAAATAGGCATATTCTTTCCCTTGATAGTTCTAAGACCACTTGATGGTTCAGAATTTCCAGTCAACCTAAAACTAAGTGTTCTTCGGTATAATGCTCTTCTTTTGCCAACTAGAAAAGTGCTGTAGTATGCATATTTATATATCTCTTATGTTTTCATATAAATCTGTTTTCATATCAAGTATGGATGGCTCTGCAGGATGTTAGAGAAAGTAAGCAAGGATCCGCAGATGCTTGTTGACATTTTTGTTAACTATGATTGTGATCTTGAGGCACCAAACTTGTTTGAACGAATGGTATAGTCTTATATTATATTTTCTTTCATGCAATGAACAGAATTTAAGATTTTAATTCACTGATGAGCAATCTGTTTTTCAATTTTAATATATAGGTTACATCTCTATCCAAAATAGCTCAAGGGATTCAAAATACTGATCCTAACTCAGTTGCTGTGTCTCAATCATCTTCAATTAAAGGCTCGTCACTCCAAGTATGTGTAATAGATGATTTCTTTTATAAAAGTCACTATTTAACTGAGCTACATCCTAACTAAATTTGTCGGTGCACCTCTGCATTCTTTATCCTTTCAGGGTCTGGTAAATGTTCTTAAATCACTGGTTGATTGGGAGAAATCACATAAAGAATTGGAGAAGTTAAGAAATAGTAACCTTTATGAGGGGGTTTCAGCTGGGGACTCTGTAGAAATAAGATCCAGGGATGATGTAACCAGCGATTTTGAGAAGGCAAAGGCTCATAAAACTACATTGGAGGCTGCTGTTGCTGAGGTAACCAAATTTATGTGCTTGAAACTTATAAGGACCAATTTGCTGAACTTCCTCGTTTAATGCTCGGCATGCAGTTGGGGCCTAACTAATGGTTTTAATGATCTTTTAGTTCAACAGGAAACCAGTGAAAGGGGTGGAGTATCTAATATCAAATAAGTTGGCAGAGAACACACCTGCTTCAGTAGCTCAATTTTTGAAAACCACTCCAAATCTGGACAAGGTTGTAACTCATTTTTTATAATATAGTTTATAATCTAACACCGTATACAAGTTTGATTTGTAATATATAACGTAGCTTTTGGCTTTCAGGCTACAATTGGTGATTATTTAGGTCAGCATGAAGAGTTTCCCCTTGCTGTGATGCATGCTTATGTTGATTCCATGAACTTTTCTGGCATGAAGTTTGATTCTGCAATCCGAGAATTTCTCAAAGGGTTCCGACTTCCAGGTGAAGCTCAAAAGATAGACCGAATCATGGAAAAGTTTGCAGAGAGGTAACACCTGTTTTATTTTTTATTTGTCCTGGCTTTTGGCTTTTCTTTCCCCTTGACCAAGTAGGGTTTGATAGTCTGTCTTAAGACATAAGTCATCAAATAGATGTCATAACAAAAAAGTTAATTCTTAAGAATGACTGTGGGCCTATCTATAGGTTTCCTGAACAAATCTAATTGAATTGAAACTCACAAAGTTTAATTCAATGAAGACACGCCTAAGAGAATCCTAATAAAACTCTGCTAAGGGTTAGACTTAAAAAAAACACCTGAAATTTGCAATTACTGACCTTAAATCCAAATTATAATTACATCATTAATTAATTTAAAATATATTTTCCTATTTGTCTGAATTACTACTTTACTCCTGGATGTGGAAGGGTAGTTAAACTTGAAATTTGTGGTGTGCATATGCTGTTTATATGGAAACACCTCTGAACATATGAAAACATCTTGTGTGGTTTGAAAGAGGTATAGATACTACTACTATTACAACTGCCATCATCACTATCATTGTCCTTTTTTTTTTTGCTTGCCATTCAAGGAAAAAAAAAACACTTAACATGTAGCGTTTACTTTTTTGTTTGTTTAGAAAAAAACACAAGTTAGATTTGTGTATTATGGGCATTCTACAGTACATGTGCCGGATAATTTGATACTTTGTACTGATTGAGGTGATAATTTATTTGCATCTCTTGTCTGTGGCAGATATTGTGCAGATAATCCAGGTCTTTTCAAAAATGCAGATACAGCATATGTTCTTGCATATGCTATTATTTTGTTGAATACTGATGCACATAACCCAATGGTGTGGCCTAAAATGTCCAAGTCTGATTTTATACGTATGAATGCCATGAATGATGCTGAAGAATGTGCTCCTACAGAAATGCTGGAAGACATTTATGATTCCATAGTCAAAGAAGAGATTAAAATGAAAGAAGATGCATCTCTTATGGGAAAAAGCAGCAGGCAAAAGCCAGAAAATGAAGAGGGACGTCTTGTCAGTATTCTTAATCTGGCTCTCCCCAAAAGGATGTCATCTGTAGATGCCAAAGCTGAGAGTGAAGAAATCGTTAAGAAAACACAGGCTATATTCAGAAATAAGGGTGTTAAAAAGGGGGTATTTTACACTTCTCAGCAGATTGAACTTGTAAGGCCCATGGTAGAAGCTGTTGGGTGGCCATTGCTTGCTACATTCTCTGTAACTATGGAAGAAGGTGAGAATAAGCCTCGTGTTCTTCTATGCATGGAGGGTTTTAAAGCTGGCATTCATATTACGTACGTGCTTGGAATGGATACCATGCGCTATGCTTTTTTAACATCTCTTGTCCGGTAAATGATCCTTTCAACTTGCTCTCCTGCCATTTTAAATAATTGTGTAATTCTTTATTTTGACTTATATCATGCTTGGTGCATTGGCATGCCGTATGGCAACCTTGATGTTTATGAAAGTAGAACATATTCATTTAGTTCCTTAGTTGATACTTCAGGTTTACTTTCTTACATGCCCCAAAGGAAATGCGTAGTAAAAATGTGGAAGCCATGCGGACATTGTTGGTTCTTTGCGACTCAAACACAGATGCCCTTCAAGACACATGGAATGCAGTTTTGGAATGTGTTTCTCGCCTTGAATTCATAGTATCAACTCCAGCAATATCTTCCACTGTGATGCTTGGGTCAAATCAAATCTCCAAGGATGCTGTAGTTCAATCTCTAAAAGAGTTGGCTGGAAAACCTGCTGAAAAAGTATTTGTTAATAGTGTTAAGCTGCCTGGTGATTCAGTTGTGGAATTCTTCACTGCTCTTTGTGGTGTATCAGCTGAAGAACTAAAACAAACGCCAGCTCGTGTTTTCAGCCTTCAAAAACTTGTTGAGATTAGCTACTACAATATGGCTCGTATACGTATGGTATGTCTTTTATCAAATGAAGTTGTATGTCTTTTCTTTTTCTTTATTTGTTGTGGTCTAGCATAAATTGATTTTGGTATGATCTTCTACTTAGTTTACCTTTCAAATTGTTTATCACAAGCTATTGTTTGTTCCTTGTTTTCTATGTATTGACTCAAATCTTTTGACATAATAGCTCTTAAGTGAGAGGTGAGATGGGTAGCTGATCAACATTATATCACTATAACAACAACATCAAGTTTAGCCTCATTAGGTGGGGTTAGTTTCATGGATTACACGATGTCATTATGCTCTATCAACAACCATACTTTTTGGTATATCGTTAACTAATAGGTCTCATTTAACAACTTCATTAAGTCCTTTTTGATCTTCCTCTACCCTTCATAGGACTGAAGACCATATGTTTCACCCTCCTCACCGATGCCTTCCATAGCCTTCTTTGTATGTGTCCATACCATCTTAAACAATTTTCTATCATTTCTTCTTAATAGATGTCATGCCTACTTTTTTTCATATATGCTCAATTGCTCATTACGAATTTTAGGTTTTCTAGTATGCTGGCACATCTATTTCAACACCTTCATCTTTGCTACTCTAACTTTTTGTTTTTGTTATCCCTTTAAAACTGTTAACATTTACTACCATATAATACAACTAGTCTTATAGCAATTTAATAAACCTTTCCTTTTAAGTTTATTGTGCACTTTTCAACAAGAAGTTTGATCCCACTAGGTGGGGTTGATTATATGAATTGCATGACAGCATTGTACTCTATTAATGACCAAATCTCTATAAATATTGTTAATAAGAATATCCCTTTTAATAATTTCATTTAGTGTTGTCTTTGGTCTTTCTCAACTCCTCTCTTCACAAGACTTAGAATTGTCTATTCCACCCTTCTCACCAGTGCATTGGTCTTTTTTGAACAAATAATGCATAGCCTTTCTCCATTTGAACCACCTGAATTGTCTTATGCATAGCGTTCTCATCAATTTCAGTGTCATTTTGAATAATTACTTACAATATCTAAACTTTTCACTATTGGTATGATCCATCTCTAAATGTAACCTCTAAATCACAACTAACTGGCCTCTTATGAAAATTACAATGCTTTGGTATGATCCATCTCAAAATGTAACCTCTAAATCACAACTAACTGGTCTCTTATGAAAATTACAATGCATATCTTTTGTTTTACTTCAATTCAAGCAGAAACCCTTGGACTCCTAGATTCTTTTTCATAACTCAAGTTTGGAGTCTTCTCTTGACTTTACAATGAGAATTATATCATTCGCAAAAGGCATGCATTTGGGGATTCCCTTTTGTATATGCTTAGTTAGAACATCTAAAATAAGAGCTCAAAGATGATCCTTGATATAGGCCAATCCTTATAAAAAACTTCTTTGTTTCAACGCCATATGTTCTTACACTAGTTGTTTCCTCCTTATATATATTTTGTATGGCTTTAATATATGCAACACGGACACTTATCTTTTTTAAGGCTTTCAAAAGTACTTCTCTTGATGCATAATCATAAGCTTTTTCCGCATCACTGAAAAACATGTGTAAATCTCTTTCGTTGCTTTGGTACATTTCTATTAATTCCCTTAGCAAATAAATCGCTTGTGTGTTGTAGCCCTTCTTAGCTTGAATCCGAATTGGTTCTTAGAAATACCACTCTCCAACTTTAGCTTGTGTCAACATTAGATTACTAATTAATGGTATTAATGCAAATATCATGATGTGAAAATTATTTATGGTGGCTTTTGTTTTAATTTGGATCATCAATTTGTGGTGATGATTGCATACCTTTCTCCTGTGGTACATTTCCTGATCATACACGTGCACACATGCATTTGAAAGCCTCTCATTGTGGAATGATACGGAGTGTGATTTTGCTCAAACCTTTTATCACCTTTAAGATGAATGAAATCTTATTCTTCACATTAAATTGTGAGCCTATTGCGTGCTTCCATGTAACTGTGGAGTCTTTTGATGCTGCTGTGAACGTGCTGGGGTATAACTAAGAAATTTGAAAATTCTTATGATTTATCTTCCAGGTCTGGGCTAGAATATGGAATGTTCTGGCAAATCACTTTATATCAGCTGGGAGTCATCATGATGAGAAAATTGCTATGTATGCCATAGATTCTCTAAGACAGCTTAGTATGAAGTATTTGGAGCGTGATGAGCTGGCCAATTTCACCTTCCAAATGACATTCTCAAACCATTTGTTGTCCTCATGCGTAATAGTCAAAACGAAACCTTAAGGAGCCTGATTGTTGACTGCATTGTTCAGGTCTGTCTTCATTGGTTTTCCCACATCGTTTCTTTTTATTTTGGTTATTTTTTAAAATTGGCTTCCTCCTTATTTGTGACATATTTGCTAAACACAGTTGTGGTTGTTTTTATTTCAGATGATCAAATCTAAGGTTGGGAGCATAAAGTCTGGATGGCGTAGTGTCTTTATGATTTTTACAGCTGCTGCAGATGATGAATTGGAATCAATTGTTGAGAGTGCATTTGAGAATGTTGAGCAGGGTAGGAATGACTTTCTTTGATCTTGCCATCATGGTTGCATGTTGCATTTTTGTGTATTTTTGACTCTTGGTGTGTTTGCAGTTATCTTGGAACACTTTGATCAAGTAGTTGGGGATTGTTTCATGGACTGCGTAAATTGTCTTATTAGGTTTGCCAACAAAAAGTTTCACATCGGATAAGTTTGAAGGCCATTGCACTCCTGCGTATCTGTGAGGATCGCCTTGCAGAGGTTTGTTTGTTTTTATTGGGAATTTGAAATTTTATATCATTGTCATGTCTTGAGATTCTAATTATCCAAGGAGGCTGAATGTGTGGATGTTGTTTCATCATCACAGCCAGTATTGTTTAACCAATCTTTGTATCCATGATGATGCATAGTCTCAGACTGCATCCTATATTATGGGTGATCCGTGATCCATGCCAATATCTTTGCCTTTCTGAGTGTATAGAATCTGAAGTTTAGATTTTAGAAAGAACATGATAAGACACCCTGGCTTAACACACACTAACAGCTCCAAGAATGAAAATAAAAAGGTCTGTAATGGCAGTGGAAGCTCAAACACTTGATGGACCTGAGAGAATGTGTTCTACAGTTCAAACAATTCAACTCAGAAACTGATTCAAGCCAAACACACACCGCAGTTACACAGCACAACCGCAAAGAGAGTTGATAAAACAAGGAGAAGCTAACTTTTTGAGAACCCAGCACTGTCCCAACTCTTCCTACCAAAAAGTTCTCCTCTGTAATAAAGCTGGTAATCTCTACTGAAATACTCTCTTGACCACCCTTCTGACCATTGCAGCGCTGAGATCCTCCTTTCTCCCTGTTCCACTGACTCTTGGATGTAGGACACTACAAATAATGGAGGAACAGAGGCAGAGAGAAGGAAAAGGAGGGAGATTTGGAAGAAATAGAGGGGGAGGAAAAGGGAGGATGATTAATGGTTAACAAGCCAAAATATTTTTATTAGCAACTGCTGGAGACAACTTATTAGTAACCTCGTGCACATGGTTTTGGGCTTACAATTAGTGGGCTTGTTTGGTATTTCTGTTAATTTATTGGTAGAATGACATGCGGGTGTTCTGTGGGAATTATTGACACTTTGGTCTCTTGAAACAATGACCCTTTTGAGATTGACAACCATGATATATTAACAGCTCTCTCTTTGGCCAAAAAAAAAAACAACTCTCTCTCTCTCTCTCTCTCTCTCTCTGTGTTTTTTTTTTTGGTAGGGACCAAAATGTTAATAATTCCCTCACAAGAGACTCAAATGTCATTCTCTTTCTCCCTACTTTATTTTATCTATTTTGATTTTGTTATCATTTAATTGTTATCTGGTTATTTGATTTTAAAATGTTACTCCCTGATGGGTAGGGATTTAGGAAGGATGACTTTAGCCTCTTATAGCTCGCTTTTTATCTTTTGCTTTTATCATCGGAATAAGATGAACCTGGTCAGTGTCTTCCTTTTGAACTGATCGACATTTCCCAAATCAATATCTACCTATTTTCCTGCTACAATAACCAATCAAAAGCTAGCAACCTTGACCCTAATGACTAAGATTTAAGAGATATATAGCTCTTGGGATAGCTTTCAATAGTGTATAGATGAAAGATAATGTTAAATCCTAGTAAGAGATAATTTAGCTAATAACTAATGCTGTTTAAATGAAACAAAAGGTAATTAGGTTTTACTTCCTGATCATCATCTTAATTAAACTATCATTTCCCATATTTGTCTTTAATCCTTTAATTCCCTAATTTACGTTCACAATAATTAATATCTTTTCTTTTCTCCATACTCTTCTAGCATACCCCTTGTTTCTACTTCTTCTGTCTGCTCTCTGCTATATATATATATATAT